CACAGTTTGTGGTTTCCTGTTGTATAAACTGTGACCACCCCCCACTAAGAGCCACACGAGGTAGAAGACTCCGCGAGCAGATAGTCCAGTTACTGCAGTCTCTTTTCAGTCTTTTGGTTCTCTTTAGGCTATTCGTCACTTGGCCTTGGGCTGGTGCCTTTGATGCACCCACGCACTATGACCATAAACTAGTAAAAGCACGGTTCCCCGTGCTGTACTGAAAATACAGCACTCAAGGTGTGGTCTCGAAAGCCATACAGCACTCGGCTTCGCCTTGTGCTGTATGGCTTTCTCGACCACACCTCTCATGCTGTATTTCCCGTACAGCACGGGGAACTGTGCTTTAACTAATACATACAGTTTATATTAGAGTATTGGACTAACCTTTACTGATATAAGTACATGTATGTACAGTCTCAGTCTCTTGTAATATCTCAGCCTCTTCCTTCTGTTCTACTGGTACTATACAATACAATTTATTAATAATTATTAATAATAAGTATACCATTATGATCTTTAATTAATGACATTAATCTTTCATTCTCCAGTATCAATGCTTTCCTTTGTTCTAATTATAAGAAGAGGTCATTAGCTAGTAATTAATAATGTGTGTGGGTGTGTACGTACTTTGAAATGTTTCACTTTCATTTTTAATCTTTTGTATTTCACTCTGTAATTCTATAAAAAATAAAATTATGTGTATATTCAACACAACAAACTAAATATACATGTACATGTACTACAACATACATCTCACACACACACACATACCTGATTGACTGATAATATATTCACTCTGAACTGATACTTGTTCTAATTCTTGTTGAAGATCGTCAATCTTTATTTGTAGCTCCTCTTTTTCAATTTTCTCTTCTTTTAGTTTCTTCTGTAGTTCCTCCAGTTGATTATGAGTAAGTTCATTGTCTATAGGATGATAATGATTGGAGTATATCAATCAATAATATTATTAATAACACAATACAACCTGATATTAATTCTTCATATTGTTCTGTCTTATGTTTCAAGTCTCCAGTAACTTCCTCCTGTTGTTCAGTGAGTGTTGCTATTCTCTCTTCATATTCCTTTATAACTTGTTCAGGAAATTGTTTCTCTCCTTCAATAAGTTCCTTTTCTTCCTCCAGTTGCTTTTGAATACTTTCAACTTTCTCCTGTAGCAACATAACTTGATCCTCATCCTTTTCTGTTGTTCCTATACTCAATAGTTACATTATGTATCATGTTAATAATATTGATGTACCTCCTGGTACTTCAGTTGTTAGTGTGGTATCTTTACCTTGTACAGTAGGGCTCACATAAGTATCAGTGAATGGTTTTTGTTTACTATCTTCCCAAATACTATCATCATCTCTAATGACATTTAATGTTGTATCATAGTGGAGTAATACAGCTGATGACAGTCTCTGTACATCTTTAATCACTGACTCTTCAGTATCTTTGTCAATGACAATTGTAACATTGTAATACTGGTTCTCTGTACCAATAATAATATTAAAAGGACTGTTTGTAATCCGATTGATAATGATAAAGATTATGGAACACACACACCAAAAGTCACAAAAGTTAGAACCATACACTCTAGTCAACCACACCCTGTCACACACCCCAAAACATAATACATAATAATTACTAAGTTCAATAATAGTTATTACATCAACTCCCCTCCAAAAGAAAGGCGTCCCGCCTTCAGTAATAAATGAATGGACCCCTATTAGGAGCCGTTCGATGACGAGTAGGGTAGCGAGGGAGAGCATTATTACCATGAGTACTAGAGCCATCATTTTCATGAGAACCATTAACAACAGGTTCCTCCTCTTCACTTACATCAGATACACTATCCTCTACATGAGCAGTATGATCATCTCCATGAGCAGTATGAGTATCATCTCCATAAGCAGTATGAGCATCAGATTCACTATCATCTCCATGAGCAGTATGAGCATCAAATTCACTGTCATCTCCATGAGCAGTATGAGCATCAAATTCCCTATCATCTCCATGAACAATAATAACATCAGAA